CATGTTGAGGTACGCGGCGCGGCGGAGCTGCTCCTCGATCACCAGCGCCTGCTCCAGGAGCTGTTGGAAGGGGATGGGGAAAAGGAGGGGGGGGACACACAAAAAAGGGAGAAAAGGGGGTGATAAGGGGGTGGGAGGACACGGGGAACCCGGATGTGAGGCGACCCATCGCTAGAGATCATAAGGGGTATGAGGGGGTTGGGCAAGCAGGTGGGACTTCATCACAACGATGAGCAAGGGGGACCCAACTGTGACCTCAACAACCCAACAATGACCAGGGGGGACCCAACTGTGGCCTCACACCCCAACTTTGACCTCAACACCCCAACAATGACCAAGGGGGACCCAGCGGGTCCAGGCATCCAACTGTCACCTCAACAACCCAACAATGACCAAGGGGGACCCAACTCTGACCTCAACACCCCAACAATGACCAAGGGGGACCCCACTTTGATCTCAACACCCCAACAATGACCAGGGGGGTCTCAGGTGTGGGGGGACCCAGGGGTCTGGGCACCCAACTGTGACCTCAACACCCCAACAATGACCAGGGGGTACCCAACTGTGACCTCAACAACCCAACAATGACCAGGGGGGATCCAACTTTGACCTCAACACCCCAAGAGAGACCAGAGGGGACCCTGAGGGTCCAGGCATCCAACTGTCACATCAACACCCCAACAATGACCAAGGGGGACCCAACTGTGACCTCAACACCCCAACAATGACCAGGGGGGAACCGAATTTGACCTCAACATCCCAACAGTGACCAAGGGGGACCCCACTTTGATCTCAACACCCCAACAATGACCAGGGGGGTCTCAGGTGTGGGGGGACCCAGGGGTCTGGGCACCCAACTGTGACCTCAACACCCCAACAATGACCAGGGGGTACCCAACTGTGACCTCACACCCCAACAATGACCAGGGGGGATCCAACTTTGACCTCAACACCCCAACAATGACCAAGGGGGACCCAACTCTGACCTCACACCCCAACAATGACCAGGGGGGACCCAACTTTGACCTCAACACCCCAAGAGAGACCAGAGGGGATCCTGAGGGTCCGGGCATCCAACTGTGACCTCAACACCCCAACAATGACCAGGGGGTACCCAACTGTGACCTCACACCCCAACAATGACCAGGGGGGATCCAACTTTGACCTCAACACCCCAACAATGACCAAGGGGGACCCAACTCTGACCTCACACCCCAACAATGACCAGGGGGGACCCAACTTTGACCTCAACACCCCAACAATGACCAAGGGGGACCCAACTGTGACCTCAACACCCCAACAAAGCCCTGGGGAGACCCAGGTGTTGGGGGACCCTGAGAGTCCAAGTACCCAACTTTGACCTCAACACCCCAACAATGACCAGGGGGGACCCAACTTTGACCTCACACCCCAACACAGCCCTGGGGGGACCCAGGTGTGGGGGAACCCCGAAGGTCCGGGCACCCAACTTTGACCTCAACACCCCAACAATGACCAGGGGGGACCCAACTCTGACCTCAACACCCCAACAGAGTTCGGGGGCACGCAGGGGGTCCAGGCACCCAACTGTCACCTCACACCCAAACAATGACCAGGGGAGACCCAGGGGTCTGGGCTCCCAATTTTGACCTCAACACCCCAACAATGAACAGGGGGGACCCAACTTTGACCTCAACACCCCAACAGAGCCCTGGGGGGACCCAGGTGTGGGGGGACCCCAGGGGTCCGGGCACCCAACTGTGGCCTCACACCCCAACTTTGACCTCAACACCCCAACAATGAACAGGGGGGACCCAACTTTGACCTCAACACCCCAACAGAGCCCTGGGGGGACCCAGGTGTGGGGGGACCCCAGGGGTCCGGGCACCCAACTGTGGCCTCACACCCCAACTTTGACCTCAACACCCCAACAATGAACAGGGGGGACCCAACTTTGACCTCAACACCCCAACAGAGCCCTGGGGGGACCCAGGTGTGGGGGGACCCCAGGGGTCCGGGCACCCAACTGTGGCCTCACACCCCAACTTTGACCTCAACACCCCAACAATGAACAGGGGGGACCCAACTTTGACCTCAACACCCCAACAGAGCCCTGGGGGGACCCAGGTGTGGGGGGACCCCAGGGGTCCGGGCACCCAACTGTGGCCTCACACCCCAACTTTGACCTCAACACCCCAACAATGACCAAGAGGGTCCCAACTTTGACCTCAACACCCCAACAGAGCCCTGGGGGGACCCAGGTGTGGGGGGACCCCAGGGGTCCGGGCACCCAACTGTGGCCTCACACCCCAACTTTGACCTCAACACCCCAACAATGACCAAGAGGGTCCCAACTTTGACCTCAACACCCCAACAGAGCCCTGGGGGGACCCAGGTGTGGGGGGACCCCAGGGGTCCGGGCACCCAACTGTGGCCTCACACCCCAACTTTGACCTCAACACCCCAACAATGACCAAGAGGGTCCCAACTTTGACCTCAACACCCCAACAGAGCCCTGGGGGGACCCAGGTGTGGGGGGACCCCAGGGGTCCGGGCACCCAACTGTGGCCTCACACCCCAACTTTGACCTCAACACCCCAACAATGACCAAGAGGGTCCCAACTTTGACCTCAACACCCCAACAGAGCCCTGGGGGGACCCAGGTGTGGGGGGACCCCAGGGGTCCGGGCACCCAACTGTGGCCTCACACCCCAACTTTGACCTCAACACCCCAACAATGACCAAGAGGGTCCCAACTTTGACCTCAACACCCCAACAGAGCCCTGGGGGGACCCAGGTGTGGGGGGACCCCAGGGGTCCGGGCACCCAACTGTGGCCTCACACCCCAACTTTGACCTCAACACCCCAACAATGACCAAGAGGGTCCCAACTTTGACCTCAACACCCCAACAGAGCCCTGGGGGGACCCCAGAGGGTCCAGGCACCCAACTCTGACCTCAACACCCCAACAATGACCAGGGGGGACCCAACTTTGACCTCAACACCCCAACAATGACCAAGGGGGACCCAACTGTGACCTCAACACCCCAACAATGACCAAGGGGGACCCAACTGTGACCTCAACACCCCAACAATGACCAAGGGGGACCCAACTGTGACCTCAACACCCCAACAATGACCAAGGGGGACCCAACTGTGACCTCAACACCCCAACAATGACCAAGGGGGACCCAACTGTGACCTCAACACCCCAACAATGACCAAGGGGGACCCAACTGTGACCTCAACACCCCAACAATGACCAAGGGGGACCCAACTGTGACCTCAACACCCCAACAATGACCAAGGGGGACCCAACTGTGACCTCAACACCCCAACAATGACCAAGGGGGACCCAACTGTGACCTCAACACCCCAACAATGACCAAGGGGGACCCAACTGTGACCTCAACACCCCAACAATGACCAAGGGGGACCCAACTGTGACCTCAACACCCCAACAATGACCAAGAGGGTCCCAACTTTGACCTCACCACCCCAACAGAGCCCTGGGGGGACCCCAGAGGGTCCAGGCACCCAACTCTGACCTCAACACCCCAACAATGACATGGGGGGACCCAGGCATGGGGGGACACCAGGGGTCCAGGCACCCAACTGTGGCCTCACACCACAACTTTGACCTCAACACCCCAACAACGACCAGGTGGGACCCCCCACTGGCCTGACCAACCACCCAACCTCCCCCCCTGCAACCCTCTTGCACGAGGCCCCTCACTCGTACAGCCCACGTGCAAGCCCCGCCCCCTTTACATGGCCACCTCCCCCTTCCTGGCGCACTCGTGCAAGAACCTGTTGTGCCCACACCCTCGTGCGAGCCCGGTTCTCACGTGAACCCAACCCTTCTGCGAGCACTGCACACGCACGGACACAGCCCTCGTGCGAGCCCTCGTGCACGCCCAGCCCTCACATGAACCCAACCCTCGTGCGAGCATCGCATTCACAGACACAGCTCTTGTGCAAGCTCGGCCCCCGGTGCCAGCACAGCCCCTGGTGCAAGGGAGCAGACCCTCGACGTGAAAGCAGCCCTCGTGTGAGGGCCTTGCACAAGCCCAACCTTAGTGCAAGACCCTGGCACAAGTCCCATGCTGGGGCCAGCCCTCGTGCAAGCACACCCCTCATGCGAGCCCCTGCAGAGCCCCTCGTGCATCAGCAGCTGCCGCGTGCGCTCCTTGCACCGTGGCACGAGCCCCACGCGGGGGGGGGGGGGGGGGGCAGCCCCCGTGCGAGCCCAGCCCTCGTGCGAGCCCCGTCGTGCGCTCACCTTGAAGCGGCGTGCGAGGAACTTGTTCTTCATCTCCAGGAAGTTGCCTTTGGAGGCCTCTCCCTTGAAGGGTTCGTTGATGACCCCGAAGGCGCCGTCGTTCTGGATGTCGGTCCAGCGGGCGTAGCCGTGGCTGCGCGCTAAGGACCGTCACCGTGTCACCGTGTCACCAGCGTCACCCGCAGGCACCACCGGCGCACCCCCGCCACCCCCGCGTCACCATCGCCACGTCACCGTCACCACGTCACAGTGTCACCATTGCTGCGTCACCGTCACCACGTCACCATCACCACATCGCCATGTCACCTTCACCACGTCACTGTGTCACCATGTCACTATCACCGTGTCACCATCACCACGTCACTGTGTCACCATGTCACTATCACCGTGTCACTGTGTCACCATCACCACGTCACTGTGTCACCATGTCACTATCACCATGTCACTGTGTCACCGTCACCATGTCACCATCACCATGTCACTGTGCCACCTTCACTACATGACCATGTCACCATCACCATGTCACCACATCACCATCGCCGTGTCACCATCGCCACTTCACAGCGTCACCATCATCACATCACCACGTCACTGTGTCACCAGCACCACGTCACCATGTCACTATCACCATGTCACTTTGTCACCGTCACCATGTCACTGTGTCACCTTCACTACATCACTGTGTCACCATCGCCATGTCACCACGTCACCATTGCTGTGTCACCGTGTCACCATCACCACATCACTGTGTCACCTTCACTACATCACTGCGTCACCATCACCATGTCACTGTCACCATCGCCATGTCACCACCACATCACAGCGTCACCATCACCACATCACTCTGTCACCTTCACTATGACACTATGTCACCATCATCACGTCACTGTGTCACCTTCACTACAGCACTGTGTCACCACGTCACTATCACCATGTCAACGTGTCACTATCACCATGTCACTGTGTCACCATCACCATGTCACCATCACCACATCACCATCACCACGTCACAGCGTCACCATTGCTGCGCCACTGTGTCACCATCACCACATCACCATTGCCACGTCACCGCGTCACCATGTCACTATCACCATGTCACCATTGCCAGTCACAATCACATCACTGCATCACCATCGTCACGTCACCATGTCGCTGTGTCACCATCACCACGACACCATCACACCACTGTGTCACCACGTCACTATCACCATATCACTGTGTCACCATCACCATGTCACTGTGTCACCTTCACTACATCACTGTGTCACCATGTCACCACCACGTCACCGGGTCACCTTCACTACATCACTGCGTCACCATCGCCAGTCACAATCGCCACATCACTGCATCACCATCATCACGTCACCATGTCGCTGTGTCACCATCACCATGTCACTCTGTCACCTTCACTATGACACTATGTCACCATTATCACATCACTGTGTCACCTTCACTACATCACTGCGTCACCACGTCACTATCACCATGTCACTGTGTCACCATCACCACGTCACAGCGTCACCATTGCTGCGCCACTGTGTCACCATCACCACATCACCATTGCCACGTCACCGCGTCACCATGTCACTATCACCATGTCACCATTGCCAGTCACAATCACATCACTGCATCACCATCGTCACGTCACCATGTCGCTGTGTCACCATCACCACGACACCATCACACCACTGTGTCACCACGTCACTATCACCATGTCACTGTGTCACCACCACCACGTCACAGCGTCACCATTGCTGCGTCACTGTGTCACCATCACCACATCGCTGTGTCACCTTCACTGCATCACTGAGTCACCATCGCCACATCACCATGTCACAGTGTCACCATCACCACGACACCATCGCCATGTCACTCTGTCACCTTCACTATGACACTACGTCACCATCACCACGTCACTGTGTCACCTTCACTACATCACTGCGTCACCATCGCCAGTCACAATCGCCACATCACTGCATCACCATCACCTTCACTACAGCACTGTGTCACCACGTCACTATCACCATGTCAACGTGTCACTATCACCATGTCACTGTGTCACCATCACCATGTCACCATCACCACATCACCATCACCACGTCACAGCGTCACCATTGCTGCGTCACTGTGTCACCATCACCACATCGCTGTGTCACCTTCACTGCATCACTGAGTCACCATCGCCACATCACCATGTCACAGTGTCACCATCACCACGACACCATCGCCATGTCACTCTGTCACCTTCACTATGACACTACGTCACCATCACCACGTCACTGTGTCACCTTCACTACATCACTTCGTCACCATCACCATGTCACTATCGCCACATCACTGTGCCACCATCACCAGGACCATCACCACATCACTGTGTCACCTTCACTACATCACTGCGTCACCATCACCATGTCACTGTCACCATCGCCATGTCACCACCACATCACAGCGTCACCATCACCACATCACTCTGTCACCTTCACTATGACACTATGTCACCATCATCACGTCACTGTGTCACCTTCACTACAGCACTGTGTCACCACGTCACTATCACCATGTCAACGTGTCACTATCACCATGTCACTGTGTCACCATCACCATGTCACCATCACCACATCACCATCACCACGTCACAGCGTCACCATTGCTGCGTCACTGTGTCACCATCACCACATCGCTGTGTCACCTTCACTGCATCACTGAGTCACCATCGCCACATCACCATGTCACAGTGTCACCATCACCACGACACCATCGCCATGTCACTCTGTCACCTTCACTATGACACTACGTCACCATCACCACGTCACTGTGTCACCTTCACTACATCACTTCGTCACCATCACCATGTCACTATCGCCACATCACTGTGCCACCATCACCAGGACACCATCACCATGTCACTCTGTCACCTTCACTACGACACTATGTCACTGTGTCACCATCACTATGTCACTGTGTCACCATTGCCAGAGGTGCCACAAGGGGACCCAGGGGTGCCATGGGGGGGACCCAGGAGTACCCCAGGGGACCCCCATGTACCATAAGGGGACCCAGGGGTGGCAGGGGGGACCCAGGGGTGCCCCATGTGCCATAAGGGGACCCAGGGGTGTCATGGGGGGGACCCAGGGGTACCCCAGGGGACCACCACATGCCATGGGGGGACCCAGGGGTGGCAGGGGGGACCCAGATGTGCCATGGGGGGGACCCAGGGGTGCCCCAGGGGAACCCCATGTGCCACAGGAGGATCCGGGGGTGCCGTGGGGGACCCAGGGGACCCCCATGTGCCATAAGGGGACCCAGGGGTGCCACGAGGGGACCTGGGGGTGTCCCAGGGGTGCCATGGGGGGGACCCAGGGGTACCCCAGAGTACCCCACCGTGCCATGGGGGGACCCATGGGTGGCAGGGGGGACCCAGCTGTGCCATGGGGGGACCCAGGGGTGCCATGAAGGACCTAGAGGTGCCACAAGGGGACTCAAGGGTACCCCAGGGGACCCCCATGTGCCACAAGGGGACCCAGGGGGCACCCAGGGGACCCAGAGGTGCCCAAGGGGACCCAGGGGTACCCCATGTGCCATAAGGGGACCCAGGGGTGGCAAAGGGGACCCAGGGGTACCCCAGAGTACCCCACCATGCCATGGGGGGACCCAGGAGGGCCATGGGGGGGACCCAGGGGTGCCATGAAGGACCTAGAGGTGCCACAAGGGGACCCAGGGGTGCCATAGGGGGGACCCAGGGAACCCCCATATGCCACAAGGGGTCCCAGGGGTGCCATGGGGGACCCAGGGGTGCCCCATGTGCCATAAAGGGGACCCAGGGGTGGCAGGGGGGACCCAGCTGTGCCATGGGGGGAACCCAGATGAT